CTCTCGATAACTTGTCTTTGCGTAATTGAACTCCGAAGCGGACCCGTTCCCCGATCGTTTCCAGACCCGAGATTCGGACGGGAGGACACCGACCGTCGCTCTTCGGACAAGAATTCGTTCGATGGAGCATCCGTGTGAAAACCTCTATTTCGGAACAGCAGAAACTCTGGGGAAGACCACTGAAATATTCCTGTCAGAATTTCCATGATCTTTATCTGGGAAGATTCGGAGAAGAGTTCGTTCCAGGACGCATCCGTGTGCAAACCCCGATCCCGAGCAGCAGAAACTCAGCAGATGACCACTGAGACAGTCCTGTCGATTTTTTGTTTAATAACGATCCGATCAAATTAAAAGGTCGGATCTGAGCCTCAAATGCAGGAATCCGAGCAGCGATCGATGTTCTCGTAGTGAGTGAGTCCCCTCGTCGAAATTCTCAAAGCTTCTTCTTCGCTTCTCTGGCTTTCTCCTGTCGGCTAGAGTTGAGCTGATAGAGACGACATCGACACAATGGCATTGTGAATCTCTTCGCATGGACACCTCGGCTTGTGACGCCTCAATCGGGAAACAGATTCACTTCGGACAGAGTGCAGCATGTACAGCACGTCCTCTTCGTCAGCGATGAAGCACCTCCGATTCAGCCATTCTCAGCTGTTGATCCCTAGCTTTGCGAAATTCTGCGCGAGGTTGTCATGAGGAGAGGAAAAACGACACGCGGACGTCCAGCCCGGGATATGCTAATCCAGGAAGCGATCTCGAGAATGAATCTCACGCAGAGATTCCAACGACTTGCGAAACTCAGAAAGTCGCTTCCGAGCGGAGCATTAGCCGACCCACTCCGCGGCATCTCTTTGGGAGCCCGGTGAATCGCTGAACGTAGAAGCCACTAGATGGTTAGCTCCGTGGACGACACCACAGCGCAGAGAGATAGAGCGAAGCTGCAAAGAGATACAGATGGCACATTCGACAAATGACAATGCAGACAGACATCGATAGAGATTCCGTATGCGCAGAGAGGCCGCAGCCAGCACTGGCAACTTATTTTTTAATCCGATTTTTCTGCCAGATCGAGAGCCAACCAGTCGGCCATCGAGTCGGTTGGTCGTCCGTCTCTCCATTCAACCACAGCAGCCAGCAGGCAGGCAGGGAGATTCATTGACAGCACTCTTCGTGATGTTCTTCGAGAGAGCGCGTATACTTGCGACTCTTCACTGGAAGAACTAGGTGTAGATATTTTGCGGGTTACCGTATCAGAATTTACTCAGTTCGCGTCTTGCGATAGCTCTCGCTCACCTACGATTTCGTGTCGAATCCATTTCATCAAAGATTTACTGTACGAGCGAAATCAAAGCGTGAAGCAGAGCACCATTTCCGGGATGTCCCTCCCGGGGTTCTCCTCACTAGACGGAAGATATCGCTTTCATGCTGTTCAAATCATAATCCATCCTCTGATCTGATCCGATAATTTCTCCACTCTGTCTCTTGGATCGGTCCGGGACTCCTATAACAGCGACCGTCGAGAAGGTAGCCACGGTGGAGCTCGAATATTAAAACGTGCCGGATATCGAAATCTAGTCAATGCGGCAAGAATTGAGCGGTCCGTGCTCGCATCGAAGCGGAGGGTCGTCCGCTTTTCTCAGAGCTCGGGTCTCCGGATTTAGACGGCTGCTCCTCAGAGATGGCATCGAGGACAAATGGGGGGTATTTCCTGCGTTTCCATGGCTGTGTCGTCCCACCGAGCTGATCTTGGAGTACGGTCCTTGCGGATCGCGAACGAGAGTTGCATTCGGAGACCCGAAAAGTCTGAAAACCCTTCCTCTCGTCAAAAGGGCGCGCATGGACGGATTTGGAGCCATGGTCTGCACTACAATGGTTTCATGCCACGGACAAGGATGATGTGCAATCATTATCGAGCGAGAGGAATTGTCCGCGACCGATGAGATCCGATTCACGGAGGGAGTTATCAAGCTACGACGACTGAGTCTACTACATCTTTCGGAAGAGAACCGAAATCAGCCGGACGATGTTCGCGGAGATTTCGGGACTTTTCAAGTGTGGCACGAGCACGATCACGGGGCCTCCGCGCAATCGTCAGATTTGAAGAATGCCCCACCTTCAACTCGGAACATCACGGATGTGCTTGTGATGAGGACGCTATTATCTCGGAGCAGCGTATAATAGGGGCGGAGGGCGAGGAAGGGTTCGCATCGAGGAGCCCCGGGGCTGGTGTGTTGATTCTTGATAGAGAGGGGGTGATTGTGGCGGAAAAGCAGGCTGCGGACAGCTTGACATATTCAGCGAAGATGGAGACCTCACAGAGCTCGATAGCGTCGCCTGCCGGTCCCGTTGGGGGCTCACCCGAGAGATATCTGTTGTAGCCTCCAATAGGGATGACTTAGGAATCAAGGGAAAACACTCAGCTGAGCTCCGCTCCATTCGCAGTCCCGTTACGACCCTAGTTCCCGGGCGGTTGGATGGGAACATTCACTCTCGTTGGGATCACGAATTCGGAGTTTTCCAAGCCCTTGGAGGGGTTAGTGAGTTGGTCCCCAAAAAGCGCGGAATCGACGAAGTCTGCTGTGCTACAAACCCCGCTTTGCCGCGACGCCGACGATGTCCTATATTGTAGCGGAATTCTCAGGACATGACGATGGTCGATGGCTCCGTATTTTCGGAGTGTCGTTCCTCAAGGGTGCCGCCCGGGCCAGGTTCCCCCAAGGGCCCGAGATGTCTTCTGACCAAGGGCGATAACTGGTAGGGATGGCGAGTCCACTTCCGTTTGGACGAAGTATCGATTGAATTTGAATTTCTACAGCGAAGACTGAATTGGAGTAGATAGAGCGCTGTGGGGAATCATTTCGTGAATGTCATGAGCTCGCTCCTCGAAAACAATGGGGGAAACTCCACGAGCACGAGATCCCGGAGAATGCGACCGAGAGCAACGTCTGCGAGAAAGCTGTCGAGAAGAGGCCATATGTTCGAAATGAAGTGACTCGAACGAGGATTTTCGGCTGATACCTCCATGACCCAGTGCAGGGTTATAGGTAGTCATGTCACAAGCTTCGTAATTATGGTATTCGTCCACCAGCAAACACGAACAGCCATACTCGTCTCTTGTTCGTATATTTTTCGTGACATTCCATCCAGGTTCACGGCTGCAAGTAGGAATCTGCGCTGCGCTACTCCGCTGTCATAAGTCATAACATGCGCATGAGTCGCTCGATCCGCTCTGGCGCGTTAGCCTTACTGGAGCGCTACCAGAGTTCATCTGCTGATACTCTGGGTGTGTGTACCCGCAAAAGCTCGACACAATTAATTGTTGACGGAATTCGAGGAGCTCGATACTTTCCGAGAGCTTAGATAATTCCTTGTGCGAATAGAGCTTCGACCGGTTGACTCCGAATAACCAAAGACATCGTTAAAAAGGTAAATCTTGGGAAATTTTCCGGTGATGGAACATCTTTATGACCAAACGAGATGCAGATTCGAGGTCCCCCGTGCTCAACTCGCCTCGACATCGTGCGGTCGCGATACTCTCGAACTCCGGTCACTACCAGCAGATGCTCTTGGTCTTGGATTCGAATCCGAATGTGGGGTCCCACGCTGAACGCTCTCTCTTTTTCTATTACCGGAATAAATTTTGTGATTCTTATAATATTATGGTTTTTAGTAACAAATAACAAATGAGAACTTTTCCGATTTGGCTCAATCCATCAAGCCGAGCCAAGGAGAGCCCCAGAATAAAAACGACAAATGCAGCGACGAGCTGCGCAGGGAGCGGTCTGAATTGTATCGTATCCAACCGAATGTTCAGGAGAGAATTTGAGAGGTCCGATCCCTCTTGCCTCACCAGAGCTCGGAGCGAAGCGACCAAGTATTATATTCCGCAACCTGGTGGAGTCAGGATCGTAGAATTTTACCACGAAGGGCCCTAGAGCTACCAAGATGTCATCACCTGAGTCTCCGGCAGCGACAACATCGTTTTCCATCGCGGGCACGCCTCTTGAGCTTCTGGAACTCCCGACTAACCGTGCGAAGAGCCCGGGGGCTCATCAACCTTCCGTCAAAAGAGAGCGGGAGACCCTTGCCCGGATAGGTCGCTACCTTCTCCAAACGAGGGGAGGCAGTGCCTTCGGATTCGCTCCCATCTGAACCGGACTCGCAAACCCGACCTCGCGTGTAGGTTCGATATCCCTACAGCTCGAACTGCGGCGCGAAGGATGCGTTGGATAACCCTATCTACTTAACTATTTCTTCCCTCATCGCTCCCCGAGATCGAGCGCGCCAGCCCCGGGCACGCTCACACCTGGATATCGCCTGAGCCGCGAAATCAAGCTCAGGAAGAGTTTTTGAGACCGCCTTCGCAGCATAAAATGTTAAGCAGAGATCATCAGCAGCATTTCCCACGCTCTCGTCGATTGATCAACTCCCGCCATGAATAAAATTCCTGTTGATGGCGTCCGCGCTCTTCTCGCTAGCGCGTATACCGTATTAATCACCAGAGTTGATATTATTCCTGTTCCGAACATGCAAGGATACGGGACGAAGTACATATTTCCTCGAAATACGTATAATAGCCCGCTAAGCAGGGACTGATTCATCTGTCAAAGAAGAACGATTCGCGAGCCGCAGTCTCGAACCATCTCGAATCGGAGCCCGGTTGAGCCACTCATTCTTGTCCTCTATAAGTTCGTCCATCCTGGCCAAGGTTCTTTGCCAGTTGGCGGGTGTTCTTCCAGAGACATGATTGCGGACCCTAATCAACTAATCACCGATTAGTCGGAGACATGGGGATGAGAAAACCGCGCCCCAGGACCACGGCGCGCGGCGCTGTGTGTTCTGTTGTGGTGTGAGAGACGAAGAGAGAAGGCGGCCACCAAGTAGAGTCTGCTGTCGTGTTTGCTGGCTGCTACTCGTCGTCGTTGATGATCGGTCCAACATCAACAGCTTCATAGAGTTTGTGTGTTGCTGCTAGTCCTGAAGCGCTGCGGCCTGCCAAAGTTTGTGTGTGAGAGCCGTACAAGCTACCGTTCGACACCTGACTCGAAGTGTCTTCTGCGATCTCGCTGCTCGTTCTGAAAGATTTCGATAATGCAGACTCCGCCGGAGACGATTGTGGCGAAGGAGGTAAGCGGTATTGTTATTTTCACGGTGAAGTCGCGTAATTGCTGGTCGAGGGAAGACAGCGGTCCGGCGAGCATTGCCACCCGGCGCGCCCAGCTCGAGGGATGTTCCAAGCCCCGAAACACGCCGTCGACCTGAGCCTGTCACCGGGTGCCGGTATGCGAAGTCATGCGGCCTTACGGCAATCGCTGAGAGCATTTCAATTGTGGCGGACAGAGAGATTGGGTAAATCAATCTTTGTCCTTCTGTCGCTATAAACAGCGAGGTTCCCCTCACTCCGGTACTGGGCTCGCTGGCGATGCGCGCCAACGTTTGACGACGAGAAAACGTTTGCTGCGAGAATATCTCCGCGTTCCTTCTCGAACTCCCGGGGAGATTCCTTCCAGCTCGGGGGAATCTCCGGCACTTGTTGTCCCGAATACATTTCGATTGGCATTCATTCTTAGCGGGCAGCCATTGGTTTCGAGATTTTTTTCGCGAGAGAGACCGGTGAAATGCTCCTCGAGGAGAGTCGACAGAGATGCGGCAAGAGGTGACAAAAAGTTCGTCGGGCGAGACAACGAAATTTCGCGATGGATTGGCTCTCCCCGATTCTCCGTCTCTTCGTGAGTTTCCCCGATTCGACGCGGCAAGTGCCGTCCGGACCGAGTTTCGTCCGACTCGTCTTCAGAATGAGCCTGGCTCCAATCAAATGAGGCCCATATCCGATCTGACGCGTACACCTGACGGAGTGTGTTGAAACAACATCCACATGAAGTTGTGAGCGCCCAACCGATTCTCTCGCCGGAAATTAGTGCCGAAATGTTTTTCGCGCCCCGACACGGGCAACGCTTTACAAGAAATACCGAAGACCGTATAGCCCTCCCTGTCGCGATTTGGCTAGCGGATCTCAAGGCGACCCATCGAGAGGACTGTCGGGCCTCGAATTGCCCGCGTTTTCGCCGCCCGCCTATCATCCCGCTCGCGCATCCATCGTGGCCGGAATCGAAGTGCTATCGGCTCGGGGAATTTCCTTCTCCCTCGAAAGTCATCCCTCTCCGCGCGGCAGAGACTGCACACCACAGAAACTCGATCTAGAATACCGGACAAAGTCTCCTCTGCGGCTTTTACTCTATGATAATTCGTATCGGTGCGGCGGCGATAGCCCCACGAACGCCGAGCTGTGGGGTTGGCACGGCTTCCCAGATCTCATATCATGCGCGGTTTCAAGTGGCGCCTTTTTCGAACTGCCGATGCCCGCGCGCGCGCAGAGTTGCGACCGTGATTCGAGTCTCGAATCTTCCCTTGGGTTTCGCTCGCGAGGCTTTCGGGACTTTCCCTTTTCGAGATTGCGAATGGTGGAGACCTCCCTCAAAAAAAAAAGATGGGTATTGAAAATGACAATATTAAATCAAGTTCTGTCTCCCGCTTCCAGTCCACGGAGCCAAAGACGAAACCTGTCGAAACACCAGTCGTCGAAGCCAAGAAGGAGGAGACGATCCCGAGACAAGATGAGCCTCCAAAAGGTGAGCAAGGCCTCTCTGTATATTCGAGCTGAAGAGCCATCATCTCCAAAGAGTCCCCTTTCGGGCTCAACGATCACAGGCGCTCTCTCACCAATGAAGTATTTCCTTCAAGATGCACCTAAAGATTCGCACCGGAAACCGTCCCCTGCGGGAAACGGAGGTGACACCATGGAAACACAGGAGACGAATTCCGTTACCGGAGCCAAAGCGAAAACGCCGGATGTAGTCGAATCGAAACCGAAGGAACCGACTCCTCCCAAGAACACAGAATCGACGCAGGAGTCCAAAAACCGGTCCGGATCAAAAATTCAGAAGGAAGAGGTGAGCGCGAGCAAACCCTCAGAAAAAGCCGTTGCGAAAGAAGACGAGCCGATGGATACCGAGGACGGCGATCCGAAGAACGACCGAGGGGTTGAAGCGAAAAAAGAAGATGTTGAAATGGCGGAAGAAAAACCCGAACCGGCGAAGAAAGGCCGAAAACGGAAGGCAGAACCGGAGCCTAGAGAGATCGAAGTGCAGACTTCGACGAGTCGAGCGAAGCGCACTCGGGACAATCCACCGGAGAGCACTGAGGAAAAACGCAGCGGTCACAAACGCGCCGCCAAGACTGAGGCGTCGATGAAGGAAGAAGCGGGTTCGGAGGATGAAGACGAAGAAGACGAGGACGAGGAACCCAAGAAAGTCGTCAAACGCGGTCGGGGACGCCCGCCGAAAAGCGGAAAAACCCCCAAGGCCGCTAAAGCTACCGCCACCAAGGAATCGAAGCCACCCAAACCAACGATCGAGACTCCTACTGTTGAGGGTAATACAGTTTCCTGCTCCGCCGGTGATGGCGAAGTCGGTCAACTCGGCATTGGAGAACAGGGAGAAAACGGGAAAAGTCGATTTGTGGCTATCGGTGACGTTCCGGGCAAGGTTGTTCGGTGTGCGGCCGGTGGGATGCATTCTTTACTCCTGACGGAAAAAGGTGAAATCTTCTCGTTCGGATGTAACGACGATGGCTCCTTGGGACGTCCGACCGAGAACGAAGAGGACTGTTTTGTACCCAAACTCACGCCCTTGTCCGAACCCGTCGCGAAATTGGCCGCCGGTAACATCCATTCGGTCGCGATCACGCAATACTCTAAAGTTTTCATCTGGGGAAGCTATCGAGACAACAACGGAGCGTTTGGGATACAGCCCGACGGCGACGCTCCCTTGAAACAGCCCACGGAGCTGAAGGTTCCGGAAACAATCGTTGATGTCGCCTGCGGTTCTGAGCACACCCTATTGCTGAGCAACAAGGTAAGCCATCTCAGGGAACGGAGACCCTCGTCTGGTATCGCTTATCTATTTGAATCGTAGTCAGCCGGAATCGTAGGCTCACTCCTTCGGAGGTATCCATTAATTCCTGATCGCCGCTTATTTTAGGGGAACATCTTCTCGATGGGAGTCGGGGAACAGGGTCGCTTGGGACGCCTGAAAAGTTCACACTGCGGTCGTGAGAATCGCAGAGCGCGCCAAACGCTCCTGACTCCTGTGATCGTTCCTGTGCGGAAGCGGAAGATGAGGTTCGATCGCGTCTGGGCCGGACGTTACAATAGTTTCGCGCGATGCACTGACGGCACTATCTGGGGCTGTGGTCTGAACAACTACGGTCAGCTGGGCGAACTGGATGCGAAGAGTATGGAAGATAATTTCGTTTTCTTCCTGACGGAGCTAAAGAGTTTCGACCCAGCGAAAAAATGGGAGCAGATCTCTGGAGGCGAACAACACACGCTCGCTTTGGATGCCGAAGGCTCGGTGTACTCGATGGGTAGAGTTCTCTACGGACGACTTGGTCTCGGGAAGAAAGACGCCAACGATCCGGATATTAAAAAGCCAACGCTCATACCCGAACTAGAAAAGAAGTGCACCATGATCGCTGCGGGTGATCATACGAGTTTCGCTCTGGACAAGGAAGGTCAACTCTGGTCCTGGGGTCAGGGCACGAATCTCCTGGGACAAGGTTCTCGGGACGATGCGGATACGATGGACGTTTTCACTCCCACTATTTGCACATCGAAAGCTCTCCGGGAGCACAAAGTCGTCTTCGTCAGTGCCGGCAGTAACCATGCCCTTTGCGTTGTCAAATCCGATTGAATGCGCACATCCAACGAACCTCCTCCACTGCCTGCTGAAAATGTGAGTTAATTCGCTCCTCACATCCCGTGGAATTCTTCCCTCGGTAATCGGCCACGCCGAGGTTCCCTAAGCGAGACCTCTGTGTCTCGTACCAAGCTACCGTCGTCGAGATAGATTTGGATAATTTCGGCGGTGAGATGCACCCCCCCTGCTCATGTCGACTATGGTCTTTCCAGGGTTTCAGACGCTGTACACTAATTCGGCTCATCTGATGGAGCTGTGAGCTCCCAATTACCGCCCCAGCTTCATTCCAATATACTTTTCATTGCTGAAGGAATTACCAGAGCATGGAGCTGCTTCGTTGAGTTCCACTGACTCCGGCAATCGAATCCTTTTTTTTAGCCAAAAATTCCTAATATCACGCACGCTCCTCACCGCTCGTGCTATCGTGTATTCCCCTCGCGGTTTCCCGGCTCCACGGATTTCCCAAGAACCGCTTTGATGTGCTCCGATGTGAACCACTCAACGACCTTAAGACATGTATCAGGAATGTAGACGATTATGCAACGAATCCCAATGGACGTAGTCAAGAATGGAGAAAGTATAGATTACGTAGAAATTCATCATCTCCTGTAGTCTGAACCGTGGAAAGTGATCGATTGATCGCCGCATTGTCTTGTCCTCGGGAATTCCGAATCAAACGCTCAGGAGCATCGATCCCACTTCAATCCATGTTATGGGGAGTCTCTTCTATTGTACATATACATACATTCATGCGAAGGAGAATCTAATCAGGAAAGGGACCGATGAATTCACTGAGAACCATGGTTGGAATGTCAGACAGAAATCCAAATACCTATACATACAATACCTTAAATAAATCACAACGACCTTCGCGAACTGTCTAAAACGAACAGTTGGAAGCGCGAGTGAGGAGGCGGGGAGTTCCAGTTGCTGTCGTCATCACTATTTCTCTGCGATTCGTTTCCCGTATGCAGGCTGCCCACGTCGATCTCGATGCAACAGTCGTCGCAATCGAATGCCGTCCTTCGATTGCGCCAGCAAGCTTCTGCAGTCTGTTCAATGGATGCTTATCAAATCATGAATAGAAACTTCGAACCAATATATAGCGAGCACATTGCGGAAGTCTCCATGTCTTGGGCAGCTCACTTGTTCAACTTGGCTAAGAGTGCGCCGGTATTCGGAAGTTGATATACGAACCTTCGATCGCCACTCCAACTCGGAGGAGGTTTCTGATGTTCCGAATCCCGAAGGAAATGCATGTATTAGCTTGTGCATAATCAGTCTTGCAGCTCCCCATCATTATAAACAGTGAGTCAGGATGAAACAAAACATGTGGGACATCGAAAAATGAATAAAGCCGGATCAACATGTAATCGGACAAGTCATTCTCCCTAAATCTCCCTATTCTCCGCGGGCTGGCAGATGAATTCCGAGGCCGCGCGCCCAGAGGGTATTCTTGATTAATATCACTTACTGAGCCCGGACAAAATAATGAATGTGTAAGTTATCACGGCCGCCACCGAAAAGTGCTCCCGAAATATTCAGACGAAGTTTCATCGCCAAGCATGCAGGGATGAGTCTCGGTCTTCCGCGAATCGGATCAATCGGGCAACGAATTCATCATTTCCAGGATGCTGGCTTTCGAGATGATTTCGTTGGTAATCCTGATGCTTCGCTACCGTGTGATGCTTGTTTGGGGATCGTGCTTTTCGAACATCATAATCGGTAATCCTTGATGGGAGCCGTCTGATCCACCGCGAGCGGCTCGGCGTCGATGAAATACACTTCTCTTCTGCGCAGCTCGGTAGGAGTGTCGACATTGTATAACCGTTTGATCACGTGATTTCTGCATGGGAGATCGAGATAGGTGGAGGAATATCGGTATCATGGATAGACTACAGGACTCTTGGCAGACGGACCTTCCGTAAAGCTATCCCACGTTTTAAAGTTCTCACAGCTCAAATGGAGCGACTTAGGCGATCACGATTTCTCATCGATGGGATGCAATTATGAGAATAAGCTCCCGACTATGCACCGATGCCTCGTGACCTTTCATCATGCCCAAATGATATTCGCCAATAAGCGAAGCGTTTTGTTCCAACTCGCCAATCGAACTCAGTATCTGTAGCGAGCTTCCCAATGGAAACTTCCCTCTTCCCCTCCCAAGAGAGATTCCGCGAAGATCGCGAAGTCGAGTCTCTGGAACAAACGTCCCTCCTTGATAGCGAGAGAAAGACTCCCTAATCGATGGTAGATGTCCTGGTGCCCCGGCAGTCCTGGACCCTCGGAAGTAAGCGAAATCCAGTGAAACCCAGCTGAAAGATAGCAGCTAACTCTTCTGAGAATCCGCGACGAGGGCTGAGGCCTGGGACTCGTAATTACTCCGAAACAGTCGGGCATCCTCTCTGGATTCTTTGTAGTCAGGGTCATTTTGCGACTTGCCCTTTCCACATGGACGAGTTTTTTCAACATTCACGGGTTTGCCTTGGCTTATTTCGGTCCCCTTTATATTGAGCGGACCTCGTAATCTAATTCGAGAGTTCGAAGAGCACTCTGAGAACGGGTCTCTAATATGGGTTTGAATTAAAACTCGAGAGGCGTGCGGATACTTAATAGACAGAAGGTTGCAGCTGTCAGTCCGAGTGGCGACAAATCGGAGTCGACACGTCCTGATCGTGAGAGTTCAGTTCGGCGGTCGGCTCTGGGTTTTACGGTTGCGAAGCCGAGGAGTGCGAATGATGTTTCTGCGAGTGAGCTTGCTTCTGTTCGCCGCCGTTCCCGCTATACACTCGGATGAAACTTGCGCAGGGGGTGTCTGCGAGGATATAGCTCAAGAAATACAAGCCGACGCCAACATCGAGGTCTGACGTCTACAATATTTCACGGCTTGTCCAAATATTCTCTGAGGGTGTGCTATCTCCTGGGAATATGTAGAGCTCTTCCGAAGGTAGCTGAGTCCACTGACCCTGCCCTCTCTGGAATCTAGATACATCCATGCGACAATTTCTACGGCTACGTTTGCGGCAACAGGCAACCCCGAGACGATCGCTCTCAGATCATGATCGATATCCTGAGTGAGTGAACTTTTCTCCGCAATCTGGGGAATATTAATTCCTCCGATTGGCCTCTTGCGCAAGGTGCTTCAATATTTACGCACTAGTTTGGCAAGTCCCTCGGAGCGTCGCTCAGGTCATTCCTCAAACCTCACGTCCAGATCGTCCGCTTTGCAGACACGGTCGAGCCGGTCACCCCTGTACAAAGACAGGCTTACCTCTTCTATCGATCATGCGTCCTGCAAAGCACGCCCGTGGAGCGCAGAGCCAACTTCGCGGCTTTGAACAATATGGTCCGAGTAAGTTCTCGTGTTAGCGAAAGACGAACTAGCGCCCGCTGCAACCGCTCATGTTATATCATCATGAGGGGATCAAAAGAGTTCTCGAGGGCAGATCTTCATCCGACCGCCTCTTGCGAGATCCGGGTAAAATCCTAGCTTCATCCTCTCATGTCTTCCTTAGGACTTGGGAGGCTGGATAGTGGACGCGGACTTGTCTGATTTTAATGGCGTTGTACAAAGGGCTCATCAGAAGTATCGTCTCGATGTTTTTTTCTCCTGGAAAGTGACACAAGACTTGGAAAATCCCGCGAAAGCAGTTCCATCGGTGCGTTCTTAAGCCGTGCAGGCATCTCTGAACTCTTCCCCCACCATTTGGCTACGGTATACACATGCGAAAATTCTGTCACTGCGATCATGCTCGATAGGGGCTCCCCTTTCTAGATATCGATGGACACATTCAGCGCAGATCTACTTCTCAAACCCGGAACAGCTCCCGACCAGTTCTGCGAGTTCATCTTGCAGGTGAGCTTTGCGGGATGAATTGCAGAAACAACTTCGATCGTCGCGGCTCTCGCAGGAAGAAAATATCGTGAAATACCGCCGTCGTTAACACGCGAACGCCGAGAGCTTCATTCATATAAAGTTTTTGTTTTATTCTCCTCAGTTGATGCATATGTGGAATCGAGGAATATACGGGGTCAAACCGCCGGATATCCAACTTGAGCTGACTGACGTGATAGAATTGCATAAACAGCTACAGATCAGGACCAGGAGACCCGAAAGTCCACGAAAGGTTCTGCGCCGATTGACCATCATGGCACATTGTGAGAATGACCCTCTTGGAGTATTGGGGAGTCATCATCCACTAACGACACCTTCGATACTCCTCGCAGATGAGAATGGCTGAGATAGCGCAAATCGCTCCATTCCTCGATTGGGTCAGCTTTTTCGCCATGGCATATGATACGGTAAGGAGGATATGAGGAGCGCTCTAACTCCGGGAAGACTTCGTTAAGTCATCTGACATGCGGATCATGTCAGGTGCGAGCGAGAATTTCGAAGGAATGACCCTATGAGACGAATATCATGAGGCGCCTCTTTCTTCCCGAAGGTCGGCGTTTCTCTCTTTCCGTCGGCACCCATGGTACAGATCGAATACCCTGAAACCTTGAGCCAGGTATCGGCTGTCGTCTCGCAGTACTTGAGTGAGCCGCCGAGGAAAGCGTAAGTCGGGACGGGTTAGGGATCGCTTTCTCGCAGACATGACTTTTCCAGTGTTGGGGATTCCGCTCAGGATGGTTCAAGTGGTACGAAAGCGGAATTCTTCCAGCTTGTTGCATCATTACATCATTCTACGGGCCTTGTTCGAGATGAGTCAAAATCTTGCACCCGCGGATGAGAATCTGGAGGAACGATGCGTAGAAGAGGGCTTCACGGAGATGACACCAATTTTCAACTCGATTTTCGTCAGAAACGTTATTCCTCCAGGATCGCTAGTGCGGGAGGATGTGACGACTATGTTCTTCGCCCTCAGAAGAGCCCTCCTAAATACTCTCCCCCAACTAACCCGACTCGATGAGTCTCGCTTGAACTACCTCACGCAACAGGTGAGTTTTTCGTTTCAGGCCATTGCCATCGATGCCCGACATGCATTGAACATAAGCTCTGGGAAATCTTCGAAGATGAGATTGCCAATGATCCTCCTCCCCTAGCTCGAGAGAGTCCACTTCTTCGCCGGCTACATGAACACTTCCTTCGACGATGAATTCTTCGCGGAGAAATACAGTACGCTCGATTTGGAAGGAAAATGCTTCATTGAGAACAAACTTATTCTGCGGGAATTCAGCAAGACTGAGAACGTAGCTCATGCACCGAATTACGTGGTCGAAGACTTCCTCGATGGGTTTCGGGTCAACGAGGCAAGTAGGCCGTCCGTAGACGGGGCTCTGATGATATCTAGCGAGAGGATGCGTGGAATCTTGAACAACTCGACTCGTTCCCCAGGTGAACGCCTTCTTCAGCAAGAAACGGAACTCTATATATCTTCCGGTGGGATTGATGATGAAACCATTCTACGAGCTACAATATCCCGAGTGAGTTACGCGCGAAGATGTTCAGCACACCGCATGCTTGTACGCCGCGCTCGGGTGACGGTCCTCTCGGGGACTTCTCCTCTTGATGGACATCCATTCTAATGTTTCCGATGCTTCCAGTTTCTTGAAGTACGGAGCGATCGGTAGTATCCTCGCCCACGAGTTGACCCATGCGCTGATGACGAATCTCGTAAACGTCGCCCCTGGAGGTTTGCGGAGTTCTTTGCTTTGTCGGTGCAAGATGGGGATATCCTAAGTATTTGCTTACAAGCAGATTTCTCAACAGGGTGGGAAGTCACGCCTGCCGAAGCAGTCTTCAGGGAACGGGCGATGTGTTTCGTGAAGCAGTACTCTTCTTACGGAACCGAGAATATGAGGGTGAGCGAGAACATACTCCGAATGAGAATTCCCTGTGTAAACCTGTGCACTATGCTGATGGAAACTATCGATTTCGCCAAAGGTTGACGGTTTGGCGACGCTGGAGGAAAACCTGGGCGACAACATCGGCCTAGCTATCGCTTTTCATGTGAGTTGACGCAGCTTTCCCTAATCGATGTAGATGCATGCGGAGAATCTCTCTGCCTTTCCATTTTTCTCCTGACATCCCGTAAATCTCCGAGAACCCCTCTCTTTCTCCCATAAGGTCTACAAATCTCGAGCCACGGGTCGAGTCCACTTACCGCAACTGGGTCTGAACAGCGACCAGCTCTTCTTCGTTTCGTACGCTCGCAGTTTCTGCGTGCGGCCAGGAGAAAGAGACTCACAGGCGTTGCTCTCGAACGCGCATACACCGGATTCGTACAGGTCAGCAGAAATTCGTCGTGATATTCATGCCGGGTACACCGTTGAAAGGGAGTAGTTCCTCCCCCGAAACTCGATTGGTCCTGTGCTTCCAGAGTCAATGGAGCTCTGTCGAACATCCGGGACTTCAGCCTGGCTTTCAAATGCAACAGGAACAGTTTGATGACCTCAGACTATAAATGCAACGCGTGGGAATCGTAAATCTTATTCTCAACGTCTTCGGATTCGTACAATCTCTGGAGCTCCGGAACGATGCACACTGATAATTTTTGTTGTCCGAATTCAGGGAGGTCGGTAGAGCCTGCGTCTGTGATGATCTCTCTGTTTGGCTCGTCATGAATTCCAGGAAGACCGTCATCAAGCCGCAAATACTTCGTCATTTATTCCTATTCAAGCCCCTAGTCGTCGTCTAGTAGACGAGTCGTTGAGGGTCCGGAAATCGCGCTCCGCCGTGAGGAGCTCCTTTTTCTCACGCTCAGGATAGTATCAACGCATTCTGCCAAATCCATTAGGTTTTGAGGAGGTAATCGCCGGGTCGCGAGGTTATCGCATGCTAAATCAGTTAGAGCTAACATTTTTTGCTCGACCTTATGATTTCTCAACTCGTGATTGCCCTCCTCGAAATGTTTCAACAAATCCAGTGAAATTGTAGTGTATGTTCGAGAAGTTTCGTCTCCGCCGGAAAGCACTTATATTCCTCTTCTCTGGAACGATTAAATGAGAAGGAGGTTTTCTGCGGGAGTTTTCGCTCATCGAGACATGTCCCCTCGCTATATATGTACACCTATCCCCGAATGTACACAGATTGATATACATTTTTTTCCATTCCGCACTGAATGGATCCCCCTCCTCCTCACAATCGGGTGAGCACAGGTTGCCCCGTCAAGTATCCACTGAAGGAATTTCTCAAAATCTACAATTTGTTCTCTCCTCAAGATGACTCCTGACGGAGGTTGTCAATTCATTTAGAAAACACAAAGACCTGTCATATCATTCCGCCAACGAAAGCTCCAGCGCAGCAGCCTCGGACTCTCATCAGGGATCTCTGAGCTACCATGGTGACAATGGGAGGCTGCTCGAAAGTTACTCGATTCTGGTCTTTGGCGAATGCGATCAGTGTCGCTGCCGAGGCATTCAGCGTTGTAGACGAGTGTGGATCGGAGTTATCGGAGTATCGAGTCGTGCGCTTATGGACTGCGTCGGCTCCAACCACCGGGTTCCGGAGGTGATGTACGGCTGCTGGTCAGTGAAAAACTGCGCAGAGGACATCGCCGAGGACATTGGAGAGAATCTCTGTGTTGGTATATTTGGTGAATGTCGGTGCGTGACCACATACTGCGGCGACGCGTAATGTATGTGCGCCTGAATTTTGGAATCCGTGAGTCCCGGCAGGATCACCGTTCCCGAGGGCTGCGGGCTCCCGTAAGCATAAGGAGAACCTCCGGGCTTATGCGTATAAATTGGTGAAAATCGTGCTTGTTGGCACCTGTCGGCACATCTCGATTGTACCGCAGTCGATGCGTAGTGTTCCTCTCTCGATCGTGGCGGGTGAGCCAGAGGCTGTTTGAGCTGTGGTGAGCAGCTCGCTCCACGCATTGGGTACAGAAAGTGTCCAGAGTCCAGAGACTGGTCCAGTCGCGGAGAAAATTGTGCGCATTGTGAGTAGGGAGGGGTGAAGCTGGCATGATTTGATGCTCGTGATGGGGACGTCGATTGTTGTTGATGGAGCGGTGAGACATTCGAAGGCGCCATCGTGTACGTCAACCTAGTCGAATGCGCCGGTCCCGACGGAAAAATAGACCCAACCGAACGAGGACTTTCCGAAAGGGGCATGGACGCGGAGGATTCATCTATTTCCGATGACCGTGGAGTGGAGGGCGCGGAGCGGCATGGCATCGTCTGGGATGGAAACGACTGTATACCGGACTCCCTTTCAGAGTCGAGATCCAACGAAGTAGCTGAGCTGGTTGCGGACAGCCTCGATGCCGGAAACGTCACGGTGGAGAAAGAATTCCGCGACATGATAGCAGTGGAGCTCCGCGTCTGTTCCGCTTGGCACGGATGTCTTGGCTGCGAGTGGCCTTGCAGAGCAGCGGGGGTCTGTAGAATTTCCGACTGCTCCACGATCCTTACGAGAAGAGGTTGATTCTCCGTCTCCAAGTAGAGCGAGGGATCGATTCGGGTAGTTTCTGATACCCTCGACGTACAGATATGTTGCGTATCTATCTCCACCACTGTTCTCGATCTTTTCGGGACGCAGCATGACCCAGATGGCAGGGGGGCGGATCCATCCGAGCCAACCTTTAATGAGAGAACTAAATTTGAAACATTTCATTAGGCTTTCACGAGGCGTTCAGATAGATGAAAATCATAGCCTCACCCCATCAACGGCCACTTGAAGTCTTCCGTCACCATCCATCGGTGATATTTCAACGGGGTCGATCGATGACGATGAATCAGGATCGAATTGCGGTACGGGCAGCTCTAGAGGGATCCGGAACCCCTCATTCGGTCTCTGAAGGACCGAAAATTGTGAGGATTTCTGCTCGGGATGCGCCAGGTTCAGACGGAGTTTTTCGGAAAACGCCATATCGGAGTGCTTTCAAAGATAAGGTAAAATCAACGGGGCTTTCCGAGACACTTACCTTCGAATCGGGTTCTAGCAAATTCTCTCGAGGCATCGCCGGTGATCTCAGAACGTCAGAAGACCAGTTAAGAACAGGGAGATCCATGTCGCGGCTGGAATATTGCGGAAATCGACATGAACATTTCTCTAAGTTTAGCCATTTGTGAACGACGTACAAATCGAGCTCCCAGTCTACGTAGAGACGATCCGGAAAACTACTAGGCCATTTCCCTCGATCAACAGTTCGAGTGAGGCGCAGAAGTCGAGGGTCCCCGTGGGACGCTCCTTCGCAGGCACCCTTGCCAAGAGTCGGAAGTCTCGGGTCTCACACTCAGCTACACGGAGATTAAGATTCCATACTGTTCGAGATATATGATTGAAGTGGCCCGAAAGTGCAAGAGCAGGAGGACTTATCGCCTCCACCATGACCACTCATTCACTGGGGGAATCGACCGGAAGTCGGGAGCTGCGAGAATCACGCTCTTCCGCAGGAGTTTTCCCCTTCCAATCTAGCGCGAAAGAAACGCTAGCTCACCCATCTATGGTATTTTTCTATTCTCCATTTCCCTAATCATTATGGCGGACGCCAATTCCAACGTCGAAAAATGCCTCTATCGGCAATCTAGACTGAGATAAAACGTCGCAGCTTTATGACGAGGTTCCACGATTGCGTAAGATCACTCAGTGTCATTCGCTGGCCATCGAGACGGGCGAAGCTGGCCGTGGGTTCCGAATGATAGAATGAGCCAGCGGAAATCGAAGCATTGAGGGAAAGGTTAAGGGTTCTGTGGAGTGCCCCTGCAAGCTGACACCAGACAGCCTGGTCTAGTATGCTCAGTTGCGAGTCGCCCCCGGAGGCATTTGAATCGCCATCGTGTACGGAAGTGAGTCCGAAATCTGAGGGCTCAAAGCGGGGAAGCTCCCGCTCATAGGGAGGAGCCCCACCGCGAGGTCAGACAGGGACGGCAACCCCCACATCTTGGTATCTCGGTCGGTGTCGAAGCGATACTAAGAAAGGAACTCTGTATCTATCAGATCGTGACCGATCTTCTCACCTAGTTCCGGATTGCATTTCCCGTCGACGACGCATGATCACATTGAACGGCCCCCCATCGGTATTGGAGTCTTGACTCCGAACTTCCGTCGGATCAATCCGTTGCACTCAATTGATTTACGATTGGTTCCCATCGGAGAAGAATTGGGGAGAACCATCAAGATGAATGCATGCGAGCCCTGCAGCGAAAGTGTGGCCGTGCTCATAGCAGACGACTTCGCTCCGAGAAAATAAACCCGCGTTGTCGCTGTCGCACGCCCGAAGCTGGATGTGATATTGGGCTCGGGCTGGCTGAGGCTGGTCTCGAGTGCGGAGGGAACCTGATGATAAATGCACTTCAAACGCTGGGCACACTGGGATCCCATAGTACGTAGCGGAGACCACTTATGGCGGGGATGCTCGCCTGTGATCTGAGGGATCTCCGGCGATTTTCGGTTCCCTCAGCAGCAAGCTTGGAGAGTTGACCTTGGTAACTCAACGAGAACATACGCTCAGCGAGATGAGAGGATGCTCAAGGCGGATCCGGAGCTTTCAAGTTCCTACGCATCGACATGCTAATAGAAATCCTGCGAAGCCCTGCCAGAGCCTGTATGTACTACCCATCATCGTCGGAAGGTAGTGCCCCCCTAATCTGTTTGGCAGCGAGTGCATTTCTCTCTTGATGGGGGAGCGTAGAGTGCTGATGCTCCTTCGGGGTTTCCTCTAAACTCGAAGCTAAGTAAGAGAGAAGATCCGCTCTATATTTACCGCGCGGTTCATCAATCACGATTCATCCTTGGGATCGCCTATCGAGTGCGGTCGTTGTCATACGATCGATACCTTGCGTCTTCAAAGCAGAGCGTGATCCAAATCGGTATTACATGAAAGTCCCCCCGCGGTTTCTCCGGAATAATCCCCTTTATTCATTTTTTTTCTCTCAGTCGATCGCTCGTCACCTGGGTAGCTCTGATTTCCTGACGGGAGAAACCTAACTTTCTGACCGGTTTTCCCCGAAATCACATTGATTCCGGCCTCCTGTCCTTGGGAAACTCCTCGGCTCCTCTCTGTCTGTTTCTCCCGATCCATCTGACGTTCTCGTCTCGACAAGCTTCCGTCTTCGTGGTCGGGTAGCATATACGCACGGGTTCTGTGATCTAGATTCTAGAGGAGTCCCGTGTTCTCCCTCAAGTGAATCGTGTGAATTCACCTGTGTGACTAACTCGTTCCGAAGGTACGCGGCTTGCTTCCGACGGGCCGACTCCTAATGATACGTGGGTCACAATACTCGCCCTGTCGCCCAATCCTCAACCGGATCCGCGAGAACTCGCAATATCAACAAATCAACAAGATCGTGTGGGTCATATATTTCTAGGAGATGTGGGGTCAGATCATTTTGAGGTCAAACGGTTGTCTCACTCAGTCAGTGCTCTCATAGAAAAGAGCTGTTTTGAAAATCTACTGAAAAACGCGCTTTCCACCGTAGAAATATTTACATCTTGTGGTTCATCGTCATCCGTATGCAGGAACGAGGTGCCGGAGACGCTCCGAGCGGGATCACCGAGCTCCGTATATTTTGACGGAGAGTCTCGATAGATATCTCAGCATCGATCGGTACGCCGAACGTAAACACATCTGACTTCTCCAGTTCGACTCGACTCTTCCGTTGCAACGGGAAACACATCCTGGGCTCGGAAATTCCGTCGTCGAAAATCCCCGTGACTACCTAGGGAAGCATGTCTGCTTGCATGTGCGTTTCACTTCCCGAGCGCGATCCGGGGCGGAGCCCGACTTTCGCTAGGAGAACTACCAAAGTTCACATTTCTTCTGGGGATTCATCTTGGTTGACGCTCCACACTTGTACGTCTTCGCAAACTCCACTGAATTCGATAGAGTGCCGATGACCCTAGAGAACCAACACGAGCATTAGCGTGACGGAAAACCGGTACCCTAGAAGGTTCAATTAGTCGGATCCGGAAAATCCCTCTCAGTACTCCTCTCGGGAAGGAAATCGTGATTTCAGATGAGCGGATGCTATAATTCTCTTTACCTGTATTTCGGCGGCGAATGTCCATCGACGAGCAGCTGCATGTGCCGTTCTTCCGGAGTCTCGGTGGAACACCACACTTGCGCGAAACCAATGTAGAACAGCTGCTCATGGGTCAAGTTAACACCCGGCAGGGGGGCAGCTCTTTATTTTGTTTCACCCATGAACGATAGGCCTGTCGATCGAGAAGAAAATCGAAAAAGTTCCGGGTGATTCAGATATTCCGCAAACACCAAAGAGGTATTCCCAGAGCTGTGCGCCGCGCCAAGCATTGCAAGCCATGGCGCGCCACGGCGCTTAAGCATCGAGTCTAAGGCGTCCTGGGTACGGCGCACAGCTGTGGGTATCCCTCGTTCTTGCCGTTCATCAGTCTGTCGGATTATCGTTGCAGAAACTCACGTTGAAGGCCGCCTTCAAACCGCCGTTGTCGGCTATATTCTCTCCGAGAGTTATTTTTCCGTTGATCTGGAACGAAGCGCCGGATAAGTATTTTTCGGACTGTCCCCTGACTCGAGCGGGACGGAGAGGGGATCAGCGACATCGAAACATCGCTTTACTCACGTGCTCTTTGTTGACCAAATAATCCGAGTATTGGTTTACAAAGCACTGCGCTTGCTCGGTGAAAGCGTTGATCGTGCGATCGTTCCACCACTTGTTCAGGTTACCTGGAAGCGACGAAGGCCGAACCGTTGCAAGATTCCGATAGAAGCGCTGCTTCATGCGGAACCCAACTCCCATACGGATGCATCGTATCAAAGCTCACCTTCCTTGTCATATTCCCTGCCCTGGTCGTCGAAAGCATGGGTGAGCTCATGGCCCATGACTACACCCATGGCTCCGAAGTTCAAAGATCTGCAAGATAATGTGCCTTTCTCGAGAGAGAGTACTGGGCTAGTCTCCTATCCGGAATCAATTGATTTCGGCATATACCGACCTCGGGAACTTCGTATGGTAGAAAGGTGCTTGCAGGATACCAGCCGGGAAAACGATCTGGTTCTTCGACGGGGTGTAGTACGCGTTCACCTGTTTGCGGAGAAGTCCCGGATGGTTAGATGAGGAAAGATGAAAATCGTTGGGCTGCGCAAGTCTGTCCTCCGCATGTCGTCGGACAAATCAGGGGGGGGAACACCCACCTGTATTGGACTGATCTCCCATTCTCCTCTCTTGGGAGCCACGAGTAGCTTTTTCATGTTTCGTTTAAGCATGTACTGAGAAATCTTGATGTTATTCTCGAAATAGGCGTTGTCCTCTAAATTCAATCCAACGTACTTCTCATCCACTTTAGCAGGGTCGCTGAGAAAATCGGGGAACGCGATCATATCGCTCACGTAATCAGCCTGGGAAGAATGGATTTTCATATGAAGGCTCACGTCGAGCTAGCTCCCGCTAAGAATTATCGAGTCGATCAATCATCGACATTAGCGAAAAACTCCGGAGCTCGGGACAACCAACCTTGTCCCTGGCGAGAACTCGAGTGGCTTCGTCCATCCAGTGGAGGTTTTGGAGATTGTCCTTGAAGGCGGTTTTCACTTGGTCTACCATGGCTTGAGCGACCTCTTTCGACTTCTCATCGAACGCGTGTCTGATGAACATCGACCCGAGTGCCAGGCCGAGCACTCCGTCCGTATCTGAGATGCAAGCTCGCCAGGTCGCCTCCATTCCCTCAGTTCCTTTGAGAACTCGCTGCACGACGCGAAGAGCATTGCGGAATTCGGCAGCCAAGGCGAATAGCAAAGAGGTCACCGTTTGATATCCGACGTAATTCGCGAGGACTCTGTGAACAGTAACAGAAATCTCCTGACTCTGCAGGATCCCCGAAAACAGGCTCGTGGGCCGAGAAACGACAGCAGGACCGTTTTCCTGATCGTATGAGGCTTATCGGAAGAAGTCGGACACGCCGCAAAAGACTCACGTTGGGCCGTTCGGGTCTGAGAGCGTGCTATTGATGATCGCCGAGAGGTTGCGGAAGAAACTCGGCACCGCGACAACAACTTCGGTGTGTTGGTCGATTGATATGTCCACCTTGAATTCAAATAGATCTTACCCCGACTGACTGAGAAGGGAGAGCCTCTGCGCGACCTAAGCGCCTCATTATCCTATTCGGCGTTCAATTCGAACTCGATGCGTACGATTATTGGACTGGGCAAAAATTCTCTCCTTCATCGACATGTGACCCTTACCTCACTGAAGCCTCTGCGGAAAAACTTGAGCCAGTCAATAAAAGGTGACATCTTCTGAAGTTCTGCGATCGTCATCTTGTTGTAGAGGGCCTGGAAAATACTCGAGTCAAGCCTTGATCCATTCGACAAACATCGATGAGCAAACTTCTGCGTTCTCGGCATCGTAGCAGATTCGCCGAGAAAGAAAAACGTCTCGAGAAGCTCGGTCGAGCTCGGATCGCGTCTCACCTTCTCATTCCTCCGTTCCAGCTCCGGAATGTATATATTCGCTAACTCGAGCTCGAACTCGATGACACTGTTAGCTTGGGCCTTGGCGGATTCTATCTCATTGCCCATCAGCATTCCCACCTGATGGAAAAATTTTCCGTCAAAGCGGCGGATCGAAGGAGAGCACTCCATAGCCCGGGGCACGTCGGGTAAGGATGCATGCTTGCAGTCGATGAAAATCATCCCTCATCGCGATAAGATTGAGGAGCTTCAACTGTGACCTCGGAGCAACACGAGAGTGAGACTCACGTGAGTGAAGTATTGCAACAACGCGTTCAGTGCCTTTTCCTGATTTGTGTCATTGACATAGTAGTCTCTGGACGGCAAAGTCAATCCGCTTTGGTCGATCTGAAATTCGGAAATACAGCGAATTGAATCGCAAGACGCGGGAGTGTCCCGATCTGAGGGAGGTCTGGATTTCACCGAGTGCAGAGTCTGTCTTGAGCATTTACTTCAGCCCCCATGATCAAGCAGAAGATCGGGAGCTCTCTCAATGTGGGATTCGATCGAGACTGCTCAAGTCTTTCAATACTCACAGAGATGATGTGTCGCGACGAGTTCTGCTCGTCGGCCACCACCGACCATTCGAAGAAGACATTTTTCGTGTAAACCATTTGAGCCGTCTCGACGACCTCTTGGAGGTCCCACGCCGAAGGATCAAACCCTGCACTTGAGAGGTTCCAACCTCCTATTTTCTGGAGGAAAATCATTATAATTGGAAAAAGAATCGAGTTTCGACGGCTTCCCCGAAGTCCGGATGTGCTCGTCCACACATTTATTGTGGAGCCCCGGGATGATCTTTTTCTTGCTCTGCTAACCTTTATGAGATCCTCTATAGGAGTTATACCAAGCTCTTCAATGGTTCCGTTCGGATCCAAACAAGACATGTAGTAGGTTTTCGCGAGTTTCTCTGCTCGAGATACCTGAGGCTTGCTGTTATCCTCTGCAACGAGACATTGGAATTCAGAGACAAGTTGGGCACACCATTCGTGGAAAAATGAGAAAGGAGACGATGATCCCGTGCACAGGGAAAACTTCGAACTCTCGAAGGAAAACATTCCTATGTGGCTCACCGATGATATTCTTCATCACGAGTTGAGTCTCCTGCCAAAGTTTACCGAAAGCGCCCCAAACTGATTTTCCGTCCGGCAGCGGGTTTTGCCGTATCCAGCCACCGCATGCATACTGGTAGAAGTCGTCACAAGGATCGACCTTGAAGGAGATGAGAACTTAGTGGAAAGACTTCTTTGATAGGAGCTCGCTTCCGATGGATCCACGGAGTCGGCGGACCCACCTGTGTATCCATGGCGGACATGATGGCACTGGCTACGTTGACACACTCAGGAGTTAGGCACACTCCTTGTGAGTTCTGATCCTGACCGTGGGGCCCGAATGAACCGAAATATAGGAGGTTCACAACGAGCGCCGAGAGTGCGGCTACGAGTATCATGAGCACACGCTCCGAGAGACTCGTCCGGCTCCAGAAACCGCCTTTGCTGTGAGGGAAAAGAAAGATCGAGTCCATCCGGGGACACCTCCGAGAATTCGTCAAGCGGGTACATCCGGGGCAGGACCGATATTTGAGAAAACGAGGAAGAAACGAAACACTTGTTCCCATACACGCACCGAAAAGCGACTCCTGATATTGACAGTGACGGCCGCGATGGATCATGACCCACGTTCAAGGTGGTGGTGCTGCCCTCGAGAGTCGGGGAGACATTGACACCCGCATCTGCAGCCATCGAGCCCGTGCCAGCCGAGATCTCGTCTTCGTCGAAGGATGCTCTCCGGTAGCGGGCTGCCTGCTGAAGAGGGAAAAAGATGACTCGCTGCCTCGTTCGACGACGATCGAACGATGAACAGATATCGGCGCTTATCGATTCCGAGCTAGTCCTTCGTAGCCTTCAGCTCTCTTCGGAGAGGATCGCGAATTCGGCAAGCATCTTCTGTACCGAAAGCACACCGTGACTTGCTCGCGTGTGGATGACGGAGCTCCGACTCGAAACTAGACGCGCAGTTCTGTATTTTCAGCTACGAAGCAGTCCGCGCGTCGGAATAACTTACAAGAGAAGGAGTAGCTTTCTCATCCCGTTTCTTAGGGGAAGGATTGCATATTCACTTGAAGATTTCTGACAGACCGAGCAGAGAGAGAGAGTCGGGTATCAGCTCCATGAGCGCATGAGTTCCTCTCACAATGATATGGCATTATAATGCGCCGATGCTCCGATGAAAATATACGCAAGTTTCAAGGTTTCGCTTACTCAGTCCTCAGTCTGCCCAAAATGAGACCGACCGCCGAGCCGTACAATTGGAAGTTCGCTCCATACTCCACCGCCTTCGCTACAGGGAAGAGCGGGGCAGAGTGGGGGATCACCCCCCCCCTCTCAGGGAAGAAGTACTTATACAGACTATCCGACGAAGCGGTGCCCTCGCACGGATCAGTTAACCTAGTCAGCGGAGGAATTCATCAGGAATCTCAAAACTTTCTCATCATTTCTAAGGGTGGTTTTCTGAGAGCTAACTTCACTCGTTGTTTTGACATTTGTCTCGGAGCAAACATGTTCCTTCATTCGTAACAAATTTTTTCTTGCAGCATGTATTGCCCGACACGGCACGGAAGTTTCCGCTCCGCGAATTCTGTAGCGAATTCTCATTCGTGTCTTCCAGCTCACGATATGTCTATCAAGAATTTTTAATAAGAATCTGAGCTCACAGTGGGAAAGTGAATTCATTTAGCTACATTGAAAGACGTTCCATCGGTCAGGCAAGAGAGCTTCTCCGACGCAGAAATCTTCACTGATGTTATGCAGGAATCGTGAGTGGCGCAGCCAGAGAGAGGGTCACACATTTAAATCTTCAGTATAGACCGGCAACACTGCCGCATCCCTCGCGGTGATGAAGAGCTTACAGAACTTGGCTGAAATCAACCAACATCGACAATGCTTTTGCGTCTCTCTCTCGTCATTCCCTGCAATGGCGGAGATTCGGGTCTGAAGCTCTCTTCAATGGATTCCATCAATAGTGACCTTTTGTCCGCGCATTGAAAACCGTCGAAACAGCGAGCTGAGTAAATGCTTGGCCTCAATTCATCAGCCTCACTGAACGGATTCCAGATTCGGAGCGCCCGAAATTCCGGAACTGGATTTCAGAGACATCCTTGCGGACCAGGCAGGAGGTTGCAGCCCCCCAGCAGGTGGATAATTCCAAGTCACCCCAGTCCGGAGCGTTCGAAGGAAGGATTTCCACGATCAGTCTGAGAAAATGAGTCCCGGCGAGTCGGTCAGCATTGTCTGCCCTGCACTGAATATCTGCGTGATATCATACGTGATCTCGAGTTTGAATGCTCCGAGAGTTTTCGAGAGTGCAAATGAGGCTTCATCTAGGCTGCGCTGAGAGTTGCATCAGTGTTCAACAATCGCCAGAAGTGATCCAATTAGCTTGCATGAGATACCGAGGAATGATCGACCCCTGACGAGGCGTACTGTGAGGAAGTTATCCGGTTCAGAATATGAATGACGGTGCTGCCGAATTCACGATCTCTCGAAAACCGTACGCCCGCGCGCCCGCTCCGGCACGAGGTCCGAGAGCGACTGATCCGAGCATCTGATTCCGCTCCTTCTCAATGCCGATGCCGTGGATCAAGGGGGCGGGGGCAAGGAAGAGACAGACGGAATCGGGGGAGATGGACAATACATTTCCACTTACCGCTTTCAGCTGGATGCCGTTCATTCTCCTGCAATGGGAGGAGGTACGCGATTTATCGATAGTCAGAATAACTTATCCCTCTCGCCAAAAGCTCCTCCTTGATTCTCCTCTGGTCATACTCGAATTTCCAATCCGAAGCCGGTCTCTCCAGAACGGACTCGCATCTCCGCAGTCAAATGCTCATTCTTCGAGTTCGACAAAATGACCCATGCCCCCCATGCGGAAGAAGAATATTGCGGTGTGATGTCAAATTCAATCACATGCGACCAAACTCTTCGAATTACTGAGGAGTTCCCCACGTAGGACGAGAATCGATCGTCGATATCCTGCTCACCAGATGATTCACGGAAGCAGGAAAGCACTCGTTTGATTCGCTCGTGAGCGCCGACCGCGGCAGGATTGGTCTCGAGATTGACGAACCCGCCTCGAGCGTAAACACGGCCCGTTGAAGAGCCCAGAGTAAATACCACAGTAGAGAATCGCTGTGAGAACCTCGGAACTCAGGGGAACATAAGCTTCTGGTCGGCGCGCACTCTCCAGCTGACTCGCGAATTCCCGGAAGGGCTTGGCTCCGCGAAAAGAAGTTGCGAAAATACAGAGACGTAACATGGACCTAGCATCGTGTTACGCAATCTCACGAGGCTGACGGGAGCTGACTTAGGATCCGTCCGCCGATTGCGAGGAGACATGGTGGAGCCTCGGGGCTCGAACGTGTGGTCCGAACTCTCTTGAGTCGGAATCACGAAATGTGCATAGTCAACGAGGAGCGATATTTTTTCCGGAGCTGATGGGGATCAGCCGAAAGTGATCGATCACTCCCCTAGTAAGTCGGCGCAGACCAACTGTTGCGCGACACCGACGTCTCGCGATCCAGAACTGACTCGGACTCCCGATAGCGCGTCGCAGGCGAACGTCGAATTTCGATCAAGAAACGGAGGAATCTGATGCTCATTGGCCAGATCTCCGCTGCATACTCACGGGCAGTAGGTGACGAGCAAGTCAAGCTGATCTCCGTCGGGATTTGCCAGCTTTAATCGATAGGGGCGGACCGATTCTCCTGACTAAAGTACTACAGTTCTCGAGAGAGAACCCGAGTTCACGCTCATCCCACTAAACCAGGAACTTTCACTTCGAATTGCATACGATTGCAGAGGACCGTGATCGCGGAGAGTGTCTAGCTCAGGTCGGGGCTCTCAGTATTGCTCCCCACAATATGGACCCCGAGAGCCTAATCTGGCCTGGTGGCTGGACAAGTGGCTCGTTGGGTCGCAGTCGGAGGGCTCTTCTGAGCGTTGCCAGGAGTAAACAACCGGTTCGGAGGAGTCCACGGAAGTTCGCGGGAACCCACCAGCCGGCGCTAGCGTAGCGCCCTGTTGCCAGGAGCTGAGCGGGATGAGCACGTTGGCCGTATCACCCATACAGTACCACCGCCAGCAGCTCTCTCGGGTGTGGGTATAAACAAGTGAATATTCATCTCACTAGGACTTCAGGAGGACGCGGAGCTCTCACGGAAACCTCGACGGTAGAACGATCCGTCTGAAGGGGTAATGGGGGAAGGGGAGGGGGGTTAAGAGGGCGGAACTTATTTTGTCGCCCGATATGGAGAGCACTAGAATTCCAAGGCCTTATGGTCCCAGTGTTCAGCCCGTCCGGCTGCTTGCGCTCTCCTTAGAGATATGTCTGGAAGGATCATGCGTTTGCGGACACGCATACAAATACGGATAGCGATCATGACATCCAGCTGTCCTGAGTTCACCCGCGTCCCCGCTATCCCTTGTGTGGAGATCCTAGTTCTTCAAGCTCGAAGGCTCGAGTTAATCGATGCTCGTATCGCATCCGTTTCCACACCGTATGTCCCGAGGGTGTTTTCCGGTAGACAGGTTCCGAAGCGCTGACGTACAAGATGGGCTTAGCGCTCCCCGTGTACGGAAACTGCATGAACGGGGACGAGTTCTTACCACCGGGCATTCGCCTTCTGGAAATGCACCAAAATGCTGTAGGGACATAGCTCCACCGCCCGAGGGATAGTCGAATCACACATGCAGCGAGTTGGATAATTCCACTCGATTTCAGCTGTTTTCCAACAACTCCGGCGTACTCTCGAAGACATTCCCCATGTAGATACGATGTTCACCACCCGCTGAGGATCGTCTTTGAGTAAACCAAAGCAGATTCTGGGCACTTCCAAGTTTGACGAACGTCGCCGATCATTTATTCTCCAAGATGAGAGTACAGAGGAGCTTCAAAATCGAGTCCAACTCGGCTTCACGTATCCACGATGAGATTGGTGCAGAGTGCGCAATATCGAAGCAAAATTTTATTTCCACGACCGTCGGCCGCGGACGATGAGCTGGTAGCGCAAGCCGTCACTCGTTCGCTCCTCGTCGCCAGGAAGAATTTAGATCTCGACGCGGATCCTACGTCCAGTCAAAACGAGTGATCTTATTCAAAAAGCACCCGGATCTGAGACCAATTTCTCAATCCGCCCTCGTAGTTGATCTCAATCCTCGAATTCGCACAACTCAAGAGAAAGGAAGAGCACAGGTCCCCACAAGCGACTAAATCAGAGCATTAAAATGGAATAAATACACGACGGTACTTCTTCGATCAGTAAGATCTGACATTTCTCCGGATTCCCCCCTCAGTCAATTCTCTACACAACAGACACACCTCGCAGGTGATTTAAGCTATTCTTCTTCTACATACAAGCACATTACCATGAGCGCTGTGGCATAACTAGCTATTTACACTTTAGATTTGTGCGCCATAAGAAACGTAGGCCAAAACACTATGAGAAAGATAACGCCGCCTCTCTATGTACTCCACGCCTTTGGGAGTTATGGTCATTTCCAAGTCGGTCGCTTGAAACTGGCCAGTTTCCCACCAATCGTGGCGGCTTTTTCGGTCAGGGCACGCGAGCTCTGCGAGCGCATCAGATTTCGCCGAACTTTGGAGTCCCGGTGCGAGTGAACTGAAAATTTTGGAGATGAGCGAAGATGAGAATAAGGAGCGATCAAGCCGGTCATGATAGAAGAGAGAGATTTGGAGAAAGCTTCTCGTGACTGTTCCCGCCATTCTAAACTATTCGAAAGGGAAACAGAGCATTTCACTCACTCGTGTCGGCGCTCGAAGGGATCGTGCTCACGGAGACTTGCTTGGTGATGGTGTTCTTCAGGATCGATCGCGGCATGGGGAGAGGAGGCGTCACAAACTTGCTGAATGTCTGATTGAGTCCTCCGTTCTCGATCGGCGTCATCGGCGTCGAGATGGTCGGCTCTGGACACTTGACGTCCGGCTCTTCAGTGTTGTCCAGACTAAGAAAACGCGTCAGGGACAAGATCTGAGAAACAAAGTTTCGGAGTCAAAAATACATACTCCTCACTATTGAAACACTCCTCGTCCATCGAGTAAGCATGATGCTCCTCTCGTCGAGAATCAGTCTGCGGAACCCGAACGAGTGTCTCGAACCCAGCTGTATTCGGCATCCCTCGTATTATCATCCATATCAGGCACCGGGAGAGAGGGTTTCAGGGAACGCTAGGGAACGTGCCGGGCTCTACCGAGGCGCGTCAGCAAGCCCGCCGTCACGTCGGCGTCGTTGGCTCCAAAGGGGCTCGGATGGGTCAGTCGGCTTCGGCTGAATTCAGATCATGATCGTACTCACGTGATTCGCTCCACCCTTCAGCGTCTTCTGCAGGATACGGGCTGACAATGCCTGGCTCTCCTAGATTCAAACGTGAAGGACCATTTATTATCGAGTGGTGTCAAAATTAATGGCAATTCTTCCTTTGACGAGACGAAACGGGTTATTTCGGGAAGACATTCCCCGAAGCTTGAGGGAGGACGAACCTGGATTTCTCTTTGTGTGGTGTCGTGTAAGTGCTGACTCGAGAGGGCAGCCAACGCGTCCGGCGGGAACTGATCGGAAATGGGCGGGAAATTGTCTTAGACCATGATTGTAGAGGAATCGCAGAAATCATCATCATCGATCAGGTCGCGAATATCGACGAATCACCAAAGACGAGGACATTCGAATACGGAACGCCACCGATTCTGCATCCAGGCCGAGGACTACGTACCTTCGTTCTCGCGTCGTTGATCAACCTCTCGATGTGGTGTTTCCTCGCGGTTTCGTTCTTCACGTTGGAGAGCAGCTGTTCGAGATCATCGTCCGTCGGTGCTCCAATTATTCGTGCGAATTGCGCCTACGATTGAATCGGTTGCTTACTCGAAAATCTCTCCGCTATCACAAGGTCTTCTGAGCAATTAGTCCTTAACGCGAGAACTCACTTCTTTCAACGCAACGAGGGCCACAATTTCGCGGTTCCGTGTGCGGCTGTATTGACGGAAAATTTCTTCCGTCTGCCGGTCGACACCGTTCTGGATTGGCGTCACTTGTACGAGGGTTGGGGATGATCTCCCGTGCGCAGCTGCAATTTAGCATGTCGAATGAAGAGCTCTCCGGTTCTCTCGAAGCCCTAACCTTAGCCCGCTTGAGAAAAGGTTCCGCAATCCTGATTACCGTACCTTGAGACAGACCCTCTTTTGCGTTTTCAAGCTCTTTTCGCAAGGTGTCCACTTCCGCTTGAAGTTTTGTCGACTTTTCCTTCTCGGCCTATAGTATTTCGAACCATAAATTAGTTGGAGCAGTATAATTCACACACCGTAAGTCGCTTCACCTCCGAGGATCTAGAGCGGATTCGTGGCTTTTACTGCTGACATAAATCATCTCATTGGACCCACCTTCAGACATGTTTCTGCGTGTTCTAATTGGCGACTCATATTATTCACTAGAGTCATGTAGTTGGTGACACCACCTAATCACAGGAAAGAATGTGATTTATAGAGGTCAATCAAGACTGCTGGATCTAGAACCTAGAGCCTGCGGCAGTCGGTCTCCCTAGGAGCTTTATAAAAGGGAATGTCTGAACTGATACTCACCGAGAGCTACCCGGCTCTGGTTTTTCGCTGTGCGAGTCTGGATGCGTCGAGCACGTTGCGAATACAGCAATGTCTTATGTGTAGTCTCATATGAACTCTAGAAAAAGTGAATGCCATCGAATAATTAGCTGTCTTTAATGACCATGATATATGATGCTCCTTAGGAATCTACTCAGCCCTTCCCTGAGGACGATTCCCTCCGGAATAGTGTCTCACCTGCGCTGGACTGATGTTCGCGATCATGAGGGTAGCAGCCGTCCCTCCCAACGAATCCTTGAGGATTCTCGTCAATTTCGAATCTCTGGAAGACAGTGCTCCGTATGCTTCCATGAGCGAATTGGATACGAACTCCTTTCATTTTCAATCAACTGCTAGACAGAGATAAGAATGTCCCTGATAGCATTCGGGACATACGCAGGGTCGGAATCGGCGCCGCTCAGATGGAAGGCTCAGGCCGGAATTCTGGAAATCTGCTCACCTGTAAGGCACATGAGCTTTCTTGTTCTCGGCTAAGGCGTTGATGCAGTTCCCGAGTGCGAGCAAACTTTTATTTATGTTCGTTCCTTCCTGCAATGTAAAACCGAATTCTCGAGACCGATGGGGATACAACCCCCCGCTTTCCGCTACCGATCGAACATGCTAGTGGCAAGTCGTCAGCGATGTTTTTCATAGATCGAATATGGATCATTTCCCTATTTTCTTCAATTCCATTTCAATCGAAATTCTCGTTGGCGCTCACCTTCAGTCTATTTTTATCTTTATTCACTCCTGCGGCACGTTCGCTCCCGGCGAGATCAATCAATGACATCTTACTCTCCTGGAGTGTTCGCGTCGACCTGCAGAAACAACGAGTTATATTGACGAACAGTTTGAGCAGCAGCAGCAGTTTGACGGCCAGCGGAAAGTTTGAGCAGGTTCCACCGGAGCAGGTCGCAATTTTTACGATTGGAGCCAAAGGGGGGTCGCAATTTCCACGATTGTAGCCAAAGTAATGTACCTGTTCGTCATCTTGAGATTTATTTGGAAAATTGCGTGCGAACGAGACGATTTGGAGTTCGCCTGGGTTTCTGACTGACTCCGTCTCCTGCTTCCCTCCTGGAACACAAATTAATCGGCTGTTTCTCGGGTTGGGAAATTGCATCTCAAAAGGAAGTTCCGCTGTATCTAGGGTGAGAGGGGGACGGAGCAATCGACCGATAGAGTTTCTGAACGATTTATTTTATTTGACCTCCATACCTCAATCAAATCAAAGATTTGCTCCATAGTCGTCACCGCGTGGTATGACAATCCACTTATTAGCACGTTTTTCCCGATTTCTCGTATCTCGAGAGCTTTCCCTTCGCTTTTGCCTGCGTAGAAACGGGAGGTTTTCGGAATGTATCCAGCAGTTTCGGCTAAGGAAAACCACGCTATTCGGCCAAGGTTCATGCATATTGGAGCCGAGGGATCCATTTATCAAATCGACTCACCAGGTCTGAGAAGGTCCAAGATGTTTTCATTGTATATTTCAAAATAGGAAGCCTGAATATCGATCACATGGTCGCTTTCAAGTTTTTCCAATTGCGCGAAGAGTTTCTCCATGGTCAGAGAGATTATTCCTCGGTCGGAATCATGGCCCATCATCGTGTGGGTTTTGCCTAGGAAGGGAATAGACGTCGGGAAACTCAGAAGGCTTCGATGCCTGAATACAGCTGTAGCTCAGCCGCTACCGTAAGGTGGGGCTAAAGATGATGCTGCTCAGAATTTTCGGCGGAAGACAATATAGAAAGGGACCTCGTCTTACCCGAACCAGTGGCTCCGTAGGCAAATACGGAGCAATTGTAACCCTCGAGGAACGAGTTCAAGAGCGGGACCACGGTGTCATCATAAACCTGGAACAGAGCAACGTACTCCGGTCAAGCGGAAAATCCAATGAGAGAATCCTTCAAGCGTCTCGCAGTGCGCGGAGCCTACCTTGCGGTTGTCACAGGTTTCATCGAAAACCCTATCGTAAGCGAACTCCATGTTCTTCTCAGCGCTCGAGACGATTTTCGAACCCTGGACCCTTGGTTGACGTTCACTGTCCTCGAACTCTCTCTTCGGATCGAAGATGAGACTGAAACGAGCAACTCTTAGAAGTTCATGTTTCAAAGAGACGTGGAAGTCGGAGGGGAGGCCCTGAATCAGATTTCGGGTGGATGTGATGGACCTACCATTTCTCATCCAGCGCGCAAACCACTCTTTTCTGATCTGATTCCTGGGCGGACATGGGACGAACGCGAACGGCGACCGCCATTCGACCCTTGGCGAGCTCGATGCATGTTGCTGACGGAGTTTCGCGTTCCTTTCAGGAAACAAGAGGAAGATGATTCTTTCGTTTTAACGCAACCAGGTACAAACGCCCGAACGACCCCTACTTACCTCAACGTAAGTCCGTAGAGCTGTTGTCTGTGATGTCAGCGATCTCCTCGTCGAACGTCGGAGAGACGTTCGCTTGAGAGAACGTCTCTGAGGTCCCATCCGCTCCAAGGAGATTGGAACCAATTATCAACGAAGGAATCAGGAATCTGGGCGCGCGAAGGACTGCTTTCCGAGGAATTCCCCCTGGCCTTCTGCAAGGAAGCGGAAGCGAGTCGTAACGTTGCTCATGTCGATTGAGTTCCTTAACCAGAGGTACTGCTCCACCATAAATCTCATGAGTCTCACTTTAGCCGTCCAGCCGACGAGCTGAATTAAATCCGTCAATATGGAAGAGAAGTGATTCCGGCTGTTAGACCACCAACGGTTATGGTGAGCCCTTCGACAAGAAAGCCGCGCTAACAGTCGGAATTAGGGGATGCCGTAACTAGCTCGTTGCCCTCCGGGAATACAGGTTTCTCATGGTATTCAATGATTATCTCGCGAGTTGTCGAGAACTATATCTATCGGGAATATCTCGGACGCGGAGGGAAATGGACAGGATCCCGGACGGTTGCTAACTTCTCCACCACTGTCGGTTGAAAGCCGACCGTCGTATCCACAGACTCGTTTACACGGAATCACGTCAGTCATCTTAGAGTAACCGTGGTCATAATCAACTGTCATCAGGAAACGGCATTGATATCGTGTACGCGTAAACTCACCTCGGAATGCTATTGGGGTTGTCGAGCTCGGTTTCACGTCTTCGCTCAGATGTTGACCAATGGATCGAAACAGAAAACCTTCCTCTCACAGAAAACGAAGTAAACAAGATCCATGCAAACCCCCTATTTTGCCCGAGGATGAGAGAGTAGAACCCCTCGAAAGCGCACTTTCACAAGGATGAGGTGAACTCCCGTAAACAAGCTGAGAGTTGTTTCAGAAGTAGCCCGCCAACGATTTTCAAGATGGCGCGATGGGAAGGAGCAGCAGGAGGCATCCAGACGAGGAAAGGTGCGGAATGAATCTTCCGGAATATGACTTTATGCCGACAGGGAGAGTCATCACAAAGAAGACGTTTCGGCGGACCCATGATTTCCCATATTAGAGACAGCTTTCAAGCGGGCCGCAAAACCCTGCGAGAATGGGGATGATGATGACGATGATCCTTGGGCTTGATCCGAATCATTCTCGGGCGGTGCGTGCCACACCACCTGCAGTCGGATTCTTCCACCCTTATGGATTGATCGTTTCTTTCGGAGGGTCGCCCGACGGCTCTGACTGCGAATTGTTGATAGAAACTGAGCCTTCATCGGTGTGATCTTCCGTCTCTGATGACCCGCTCGATGGGCATGCTGAAAAATGAACGTAGGTACTTGGGGCTTTCCGTACAGTCTCAATGCGTCAGAAGTCCCGTACGAAGCCTTCATCTTGATCCGTCCCCGATTCACGCCTAGCGTACCCACGTTCTCGAATCATCCAGAATATGATGGTGGAAGCGGGTCCTCCGTGCCGGATTGCGCTTCCGTCGCATCATGCCAATGGCTTTCTTAGGCCTGAGCTCATTGTGGGCCACAGTTCCCGACATTCTCATGGAGCGCAAGTCGTGTATCGAGCGATTCATCACATTTCGTTCTGCGGCATTCAACTCCGCGAATACTCTCAGAAGAACATCCGCTGACCTGAACTCACAATCACAGGAAGCACCACACCTGCCATCTCCTAGGTATGGCATCTGATCTTTTCTGCAGTTCTGATGATGAATGCCTCTCCCGTGTAATCTCCAGGATATTTTGGGGGAGGCTTTCCAAGCGTTCAAAATCTGGGAAGTCTTTGACCGCCGAACGTGACTAGCTGCTGGACCATCGAGCCACAGTCCAACGTTCTCTGCAATCGCCTCACAGCGAAACGAATGATCGTAGCTCTTTTCACTCACGACGGAGGAACGAAACCTCCCTTCTGGAGGATCGCCGGACCGCCAAAAATCGAAAAGCCAAGGCGTTTGTCACTTCTCGTGCAGGCGTGCACGAAATTTTCGGGGGGTGCGACTTTTGAGTGTCAATAATCCCTCACAGCTTGCAGATTTTGGGGGGCCTCTGCGAGGAGCGCTATCGCTGTCCCATATTCCTCGAAATCGGAGGAGAAGTTTGGAAGAGTTAGTCAAAGGCTATCGGGTCTGAACAATTTCATCCTTGGTCTCCGCGAATGATAGGCAGGGGCATGCGCGCCATTCAGCTCGCGAGGTTTGGACACTACGGCTCTTTGATTTCCCCGGTCCGGAGCCGCATGCTCGAGGAATCCAGTCTGACGGGTCTGATCGAGTGCCCCACTGGATCATCGTGCTGCTCGTGGACCGAACCGATCAAAACTCGTGGGACCCCTCATCAAGAGAGAATCGGCTACATCTCAAAGGTCAAAACTCTCATTTATTCTCTCCACAACAACCTGATGCTACCCCACCTCATCGAGTCTCATGTAAGCTCGATTACTCCTCTTAAAATCAGTCCTAAAAACCACTCGGTCCCTGACTCCATATGGATCGTTTCACTCCTTCGCGTCCTCTATAAGTTCGCTCTCAAGGGCTCTTCTTCTCAAAACAATGATCAAGTGAATACTAGACCGTGTTCTGTGTGCGCCTGTCATGTACCTAAAAGACTCCAAACTCACAGAGGCATTTCAAGAAGCCAGACCTTCTTCCGGTTCTGATGCGGTTCTTTCTGCGCAGCCCTGCATTGTTGTACATATAGTCTTTCCGTTCATCCTCACTGGAACGTCCCATCTAGTCTCCCGAAGGCGTTAGGTTTGGTTCATTTTGGGTGCCTCGACATTTCGAAGGATTCTCACGAAAAATACATACCGCCACGGATCAACCATGGCCGACAACATGTGTTCTCTTCGAGTTTTCACTCTCGTCTCAAGGGCGCATCCGGATCCGCGGCGCATTTTTTTTCGCGAAAGGAAGCGTTTCTCGACTCTCAGGAGAGAGAGGGTGAGGAGTAAATATGAATCCGAATAATTAGACGAGGATCTCGAGGAATGTCAGCTCCGCATAGTTCCCGTTTGTTCATAATAATGAGCTGAGCTCAGGCGAGAGGGAGTTGGCAATCCTGGAAACGTCAGGCTTCCAACCAAGCTCTATATAGACTCTTCCTCCGCTTGAAACTTCTGACTGAATTCAACTATCTGCCGGCGGAGTCAATTTGTGGCGATTAGTCAAGGCCTTCTCCAATGCCTTGAGGTGTTCGGTTTTCTTCTGATCGTCTTCGACGCCGTCCTTGCATCGCAATCCGTTCACCACGTTCAAAGTTTTGCTGAAGTAGATCTCACTGAGACTGACTTTGATCTTGTTCTCAGCCTCTTCAATCATTTTGCCGATGTTCACGATGTGCGGATTGCTGTCCGTTACCTGCATGTCTTGTTCCTAATCGAGAGAGCAAGGAAACGGTGAGATTTTCAGCCACAGATTTTCGAAGATATCGGTGCGCTTCACGAAATTAAGAGCTACTCACGGACTGCCGCATTAGCGATCCACCGAGAGAGACGGTCCCGGAGGCGGGAAACATCGTCTTCAGCCACAGCATCACGGTCGACGTTAATTTGTAATGAGCGTTCTTTCCGGACGATTTCTCCTGGACTTCGATCACATGAATTGAGTCCCAAGAACCTTGAATTTTCCCGGAATTATCTCCTCCCTGCGAGTAAGGGAGAGCGTAAGATGCCGACCTTGCACCGGTGTCGAGAATTTCGAGGATCGAAGGCACCGGGGTATTCCATGGTGACGACTTACCTTCTTGATGAGGACGACTCCAGCGAAACCGTTCCCCGACAATTCCCATAGGTAAACGGATGAGACTCCGCCTTCATAATAGAGTTGCCTGTATTGCTCGAAAACTTGATTAGCTTCCTCCTCGAGCCGGCGAAGTCGGTCTGTCGGAACGGCTCCATCTTCAAGCGGAGGATCGTACCGATTGCTCCACGGAGATCTGAGGATCGTGAGAAAATCCATGAATTCCTTATGATACACATTTGTCGAATACGGCGCGACGTCGAACTTGGTCGCCTTATTCGGGTGGCCAGCTTCGCCGGATCGGTAGAATGCTTTCCTCTGACGGGGAAACCTGCACTACATGAAGAGTCTCACCTGTATGAATCTCCATCTCTGTTGTAGTCGCATATGAGATATTCTTTCCCGACCAGATTATCTCGAGCGACTTTCAAAGGTTGATCTATCGACGAAAGGAGATCTTCGCATAGGTCGGGTACCAAGTCCACCAACTCGCCTAAGCTGGTGTCGATCCTCTCAGGTGGGAGACGTCTCATCAGATCTAGCGCCGCATCCAACTGGGCATCGGTCTGGAGCGGGAATGAAAGTCAAGTTATTCAAAGGCGGGCCAGAATAACCATCGGATTTCATGCGAGGCACGAATCGGCTCTAGGCTCTGCGAGCGAGGTCAGGCTGAAATACGTTTTGAATAATTCTGTGGTCGAGGGATCGGCTCCTCTTCTTTTCGTGTTCGGCTCAGAGGGGAAATCGAGATTCTCAGATTGAATCCCAGAAAAACTGATCGCGTGAGTGGCGCCGCCAGCCGAAACCTAAAAAGGTTTCACATTGAAGATTAGTCACTTCACTGCGGCAATCCCTTATACGTCGATACCAAAGCTCAACTCTCTGTGTCATGCTCCCTGAGCCCGCTTTCTAGGAACGCCTCTGTGTCTCAACTCATTGAATTGATCGAACATCACCGAGCCGATCATTCCTTCAAAGGTTTCTCAACGAAGATCTCGCAGAAGCTACATACATAATTGACCGGGTCTCCGCAGCCGGGCCATCTCCGCAGCCTCGGAGCCTTGATCTCGAGTCATGTGGAAATGGACTGAGGAGCCTCACCGATAATAATTTGCAAGGTCGGATCAGATCCCGAAAATCTCACACTCTGCAGGAGGAGCGAATAGGTTGGGTGATGGTTGACAGGTTCTGTATGAGTTCCTGCTCTAAAATACCCCGCTCCAACGCGAGCGTCGTCCCCCGTCCGGGCACCAAGCTTCCAGTCACCGTTCTAATGTTCCCGAAATAGTCTTCGAAATGGAAGCTAGTCCGACAAGGGAACCAAATCAGGTGATCCCAAAGTTCGTTCGGGACCCCGTATTCGTGTCTTCCTGAAGATGGGAATGAAGTCTTCGGGTTGACCGGCTCTTGAGTCCGCATTGACGTCTGTCAGATGGCAATGATCGCGACTCATCCGGAAGCCGGAGATAGCGAGGAGCATGCGATCAGTCTGTCAAGAATCCAAGAATGAACTCACCGACATGATGAGCTCTCCCGTCGAATTCGGTAGCTGTCTACTTTTGCAGTAGTCTACCGGCTCTCTCTGACATCTATCAGTGGTCACGGAAAAAGCCGAAGAAGTGGTGGTGGCAGCACCCAACTCTCATTCATTGTGTGCATGTCTGGGTGTGCGGCGCCATATTGGTTAGTCTCTTCTCTGCGCTCCACTGGCGCATGTAGTCGACGTTCTTTTGAGTCTTTTCCCGATGATCGATGCGAGACTGAATTCGGGAAAATCATGCGAATCCATATTGAGTGGAGCGATCGGAGACCCTTATTGAATCGAAGAATCATTTGGTATTTTTTCGAAATTGTGCCGGGCTTCTTAGGCGGGCGGATTTCGAGACACCCACGGACCCATCATAGCAACAGCTCCTTCTAGTCGACAGAATTCGATTTCGAGCGCGAAAGAGTGACAGGTAAAGTTTCAACACTCATTGGAGCTAGCTGAATCTGAACTTGTTTGCACGGAGGACCGATATGAGTGCTGCCCACGGCTCTGCTGTGAGAGACTGGGCAGAAATCGGCCGTAGTTAATGCTGTCGTGTGAGGAAGTGTCACGAAAGATTGGTTGGAGAGATGTGCTGAGAGAAACTGCCTTCCGTCCGTGGAGTAACCTCATGAAGGAGGAAGACGCAGTCGGCTCATTGAGGACCCGTGGGATATTTCTCAGATATCATCCCATGGACGATGGCTCTGCCGCCCCTGGTTCCTTGAGTCATTCCCGACTTCACATAGATTATTTTCTCTCGATGAAGCCGCCGCCGTATTCGAACAGTGATCGGATGTTCCACAGAACTCTCCAGATGGAGAATCATTCGGAGCAACGGCTGTCATGATTTGAGATCAGACTATTGACTTGTTCCACTTTAGGTCGTTTTACGGAATACGAAGTCGGGAACCCAGATCCGGACGCGAGCCTGCGCGGAAGCCGCCCGATAGGCGTTTTTCCGAAGACCGTCCCTGAGACAAATGAACATGGCAGCAGACGAATCGACGTTTCGATTGGGCACTAAATGTCTCGGATTGAGATCATGAGAAACTTCGTATATAGGTAGCACCCATGGAGTGATCCATCAATCAAGTCGGCGAGTATCGAATGATGTTCTCGAAGTCTCGCCCCCTCGTATGAAGATAAGGCGTAGCCTTGGGAGGTCTTCCAACGAGAGAGAGGAGTCTTCTGCGAAAAAGATACTCAGTTCGAGAGTACCTTCCGGAAAGGGGCCGCATCCACCTGAAAACCAAAGTCGAGACCATGAGGGAGGATTTCACGAAGTCGTGACCCACGACCTCAACCTCCACCCCGCCCGTATTATGGTTCACGGCACCGCAGAGCCGTAATGGCAGTACGGAAGCCCCGGAGCGACCCGAAAATGACGGGCTAGACGAGGAATATCTACGGCAATCCATTTTCTACACTTCTTCGGCGTCACAGACCATGGGACCTTGTTCGATTTTCTCCTTTCTCCGCGCGTCGTAGCGATTTCATGAGGTCCAGTCCAGCATCCTCCGTCGGAACACGATTTCCATCCTTCTCCCTGGTGACGAACGGCGAATTTCGGCAACCGGACTCTTCCGATACTCGGTGGGGGCTAGCGGACGAATACTGGAGGGAGGGGCAGACGTACCCTATGGCCCCTCGAACTGTTGGGGGGCGCGGATGCCCGAGTGCCGCGGCTTCGAGCCTATCGCGCAACCATTCACGCATGACGCTGGGAGGTCGGGGCGGGTTAGCAGCTTCATGACTACCCCGAAAGGTGCGGTATAGGACAGTGATTCGCAACTGGGGGGAGGTCGATCCCAAAGGGTGTCGCAGAGCCCCCGCAGGGGGGTCGCTGGATTCCAAAATTTTTCTGCAAACCTTAGTTTGGGGTCTCCGGCTATTCCGCGCAAAACTCGACGCTACGAAGGCTCGCCTCGCGCTCTACCGCGCTGAAGCTCCGAATGGGGAATGGGTGAAGGAGAGCGGTGCATGACAGTTCGATGTTGGACGAAAACCCCCAACTATCAAGTCAACCCTCCGATTCTACTACAGAACTCGTATAGAAAATTATGGATCTGGCGACCTGAGCTACTCGAGTTGTCATCCATTCCCCCCGAAGTAATAGCGCAATCACAGTGCAGCTCCTGAAACGCATAAAATTGCTGATTCCCGTCACGGGGATGAGTGCGCCTCTTTGGAGGTCGCGGGGCAATGTGAATCCTCTGAGGGGATCCTGGGACGAAGAAGGTTGCAGATTACTGGTATAGTACCTCCATCAGAGGGAACTCACTGACCTCAGAGGGGTGTGTATTTCAGGAATATTCTCGACTCTAGGAGAATCGAGGACAGCACAACCGTTCCGATTCATACAAGGAGCACATACATTCGGCTTGAAAATGGAACACGGAGAACGGCGTTCCACAAGAAAAAAGTCGTCGCGAGGCTTCAAAACTGAATTTCCGTTGCTTGTCAGCCTAACGGGACGAGGTGAAGAAATTGATGCTCTCGATCAGAATCAGCGGCTCATGCACGACTCCGTCCCAGGCGAAATATCTCGTGGTCCTCTTGTGGTCGAGGCTCTCTGAGAGCTCGAGGGCATCAAGCGGGATCTCAATCTCCTTTGAAAATTCCGAGGGGCGGATGATGAGGAGCCCGAACTCAGTGGAGGTCGCCGTCGGTCCCGTGACCGAACTCGAAGGGTGGTTCCATTCGTTCCTCCACTTCTCCGGAGGAGCCTTGGTTCTGCCACTTCCTCATCTGGATAGGTAGATTTCCCAGACGACGATTTGCGAAAAGAGAGCGCCTGTCACGATTCCCGCTCGTGACCTCCGGATCGCGCTCCAAGAGATCCGGTCGAAAGCCGGCGACATCCGGAAAAGACGAAGTTTTCACTATTAATAGCCGGAAAACCGGAATCGTTCAGACCAAAGATGAAGGTCTCGAATCCATCGATATATCGTCAAATCGAGGAAATGCGCAAGCGATTCATCCCTCGCTGCGAATTTCTCAGAAAACTCTGAAGCCGAAAATATTGGAGGATTGGCCGGAAGTCATCGTGGACTCACTCTTGACTCTTGACCAGCGAGGCCAGGGTAGCTTGCGAGAATCGAGGGTCATGTCGACCAGGGTCTCCCAGGCGAGTCCCCACGGATTCGTTAGAGTCTTCGGGAGAACAGCCAGCCGCCTAATTCCCACCTGGAGTGTAACGATCGAGGATTATCCGATCTGGTAAGGGGGGGCAGCATATAGATATAAATGATGAATGAACGGAGTAACATACCATGCAGCAAGTGGGAGAGACAAGATCTGTGAACGCAATACGTGTCACTCCTGTATTGAAAGGGGTCATTATGTGCACATGAAAGATCAATATAAATCAATCAAAAATCCATCGACATTCCGTCGGGCAGGAGTTTTCGTATCTCCAACTCCCTCCATGTCTGAATGCGTCGGAAAGAGCCAGTGGCGATTCCGGAAGCGGCCAAGGGGAATTGCGGTACTTCTCACGACTCACGACCCACGACCTGCGATGATACTCCACATGACCATTCTCGGTGGTCTCTCCGGAGCGCGATGCCATCGATCCGAAAGGAATTCATGGTGTACGGGGCGGACTAAAGCATAGTCGTTCGGTCGCAACGTCCATTTATAACCCGTGTTTCGCCGGAGCGAAGTCAACTCAAAATTCCTAGAAAAGGAAGTGACGATCTCTGGCTCATTGAATGAAAACTGCACCGCGTGTGACTCTTCACTTCGCCAGAAAGATAGCTCGAAGAGAGAGATTACGACGAGCATCTAAATCGCCCGAAGAATGTGACTCTATCGCTTGCCCGCATCGGTCAGCCGCTTGATTATTCTTCACCGTATTATCTTGTAAAGTCGTATCAGTCACAGTGAGCCGAAACCGTAGATGATCACTGGCTCTTCGAAAAATTCTGAGCTCCCGCTTAGAGCTAAAAGCTCGTCTCCACCAGACACATAGATTTTGGTACCGCGATCACGTCGCTTGAGGGATCTTCCGTGAGTTCTCTCGTTCGCTCTCGCAACAGGTGACCGCGGGACGCTCGCAAGCATCTGAAACTTCGAATCCGGTCGGAAGACCTATGATCGGATGCAGGAGCAGAATGAAGATTGATTGTAGATGAAGGTCTTGTTTTGATTGCATTAAAGAAATCCTATGCTGTCGTTTCGCAGAAACTGAGAGCCTTGTGATAGATGATAGGATACAGCCGATAGGTCGGTAGTTTCCAGGCTCAAGACTTGCCGTAACGACCGATGATTCGGAGAGCTCATTCCAAGCTGATCCGCAGGTTATCACGTAGACGAAGGCGCACAGAGCGTCCTGCAAGTCTCTCCGAAAAGCGCTTGTGTATTGTGTATCGGAGAACGAGCTTTCCTCGCTGTCGGCGATTTCTTGCAGCAAGACTCCGGCTACCCTGGAATGGGAACTCTGACGGGGTGTTGAGCAGCAATCAATGGAACAATGCCCGACGAAAATGAAATAATTGTCCGCGGCGAGAATCTGGCTCAGATGGAGGGAAAACCGAATTGCGAGCTCATCGCCCCTGCGGTAGCGAGAGTCTTACGGAAATCATGGTGTATGGCGAATCATCCGTCTAGGATCAAGGAGATAGGGCAAGCCCAGGGGGAGAGATGACTCCCTCGGGGTTGGTCAAGCAAATCGCGATCGTCGAGCCAGCAGAAGTCTGCCATCGCTCAATATGGTTTTCCTGCAGCGCGTCCAAAGGTCCACGCTCCTCTCCTGGAGTTCTAGGACATCAAACATGGGATGTGTCAGGACTCGGAGGCTGCTATTCTGGCCGCCATGAGTCCACTCTGATCGAGCCCATCCATCGATGGGAGACGTGGTGCACAGAACTACCAATGCTTTAAGGGCTCCCCAGAACTGCCCCCCCGCCCTCCCCCCCCC